ACTTGAATGAAATTATTCAAATATCATATTACGAATCACCAGAATATCATAGTATTATTTATTATATTAGAGATAATATTGTAAAAGTTTATTCAACACACAATCGACTTAGATGGCAGTCAATAAGTGCACAAACGACTAAGAGCTATTCTGATGATCTCTTTCGCTATTTTATACACAATCTGCATAACAGCATATATAGCCTTTAGTATGTACGAAATAATTTTGAACCATTTGCGTAAAAAAAAGAGGTTCAATGGACACACCCTATGCGTATTATTTTTTTCTATTAGAACGAAAGAAATAGTAAAAAATAAGAGCAATCAATTTCATACATATTACATAATCATAACTATTTAAAAAAGAATGCATAGTTTTCAATCGTATTTTATATTCAATTAAATTGTTTTATATAGAAAAGAAAAAACAATTAGATTTAACTGATATTTACTTTTATCATATTGAACTGATAACGATGATAATGATATTTGTTGTTCTTGTTGTTCATCATCAATATCATCGTCATCATCATGATCATGATTATTTCTAATGATAGATTGTTTCGTTTGTATCCAATTTAAATTATCATCGGATAAACCAAGTGCCGAATCTTTTGAATGAAATGCTGATAATGATAATTGATTTGTACTTGATAAATCATCTGTTGATGATGCTGCTGTATTTATATTATTCATTATATGATGATCAGCTTGAAGTAATGAATCATGACTATTCGTATGTTGATTTTGTGGTGTTTGACAATAGAGAAATTCTTCATCGAATGAAAATGATGATGATTCATCTGGTATTACCACTTGTATAAGTGGGCTGTCGTTTTTGTTGTCATCGTCGACTCCAATTTCAGTTTGTTTTTCATCGTCAATATGTTCTGTTTCTTCTACCGTTCCCACGTCATCAATAATATTATTTGTGGTTGTAGTTGTTAAATTCGAAAACGAAAAATTTTCATCGTCTATATGAATTTGATCGGTATTAGAGGGAGTCGTACTACTTGTTGTATGATGATGAAGATAGTTATTTTGCATTGTTTCCTTGTTAATCACCTCTAGAAAGACAAAAACACATATATACACAATAGGTTGTCGTCTTACAATGGTCAGCCTATTTAAGTAGATAGATGTATGTGTGTATATGTGTGCATTTTCAAGTGTTCTGTCGACGCCCCGGTCATCTTCATCTAATAGACTATTGTTCAAGCATTTTAGCATGGTTTACTTTGTGTCTATTTTGACTATTGTCAGACAATAAGAGCACGAAAAAAAAAAAAGAATATGTTGAACAGGTAAAGCCGACGCTCATCATTAAATGAGAACAGTATAGGCAGTCGGCCCGTGCTCTTTGATTGAAAACAACGATCGAGTATCCACATATTTTATTCAACAATATGCGCACATTAAATCGATTATGATGAGTTTATGTGTAGGCGTATTAAATACTATATACTCTTTTTCTTTTCTGTTTCATTTTTCCATTCTTTCTGAAGAAAATTTGAGACCAAAACAAAAGAAAAACAACGCTTTCTTTAATCCGAGTTTTTTCCCTCTCTTACATTAATCATTACTATGAAACAAAAAAAAAAACAACGCAACAAGGAGTTAATTTATTATGTTTGTTGCTTACTTTATGCCAGCAGTTGACCTCCATCATTGAACAGCCTGTCTGTCTTCTCAGGAGAAAAAAAAATTGAAGAATGAGAAAAAGTGTTGAGTGCACATTTTCCTTTCTTTCGTTCTTTCTCTCACCTTGTTATTCCAGAGCGACGGCATGCACACATTTTTAGTGAAAGGAAGTATGTCGTCTCTTATTCTCCGTCTTTTTTTTCCTTTGTATTTTTTTCTTTTTTTGCTTTCTACTCTCGTTGATCGTTTAGTTATAACGGTAAAAACTCACCTTCATCATTATTTTCAATTGATGACAGTTGCATTGATGTTGATTGTTTATTGACATCTTGTTCGTTTATAGAATTAATGTTTTCATTATTAGAAACATTTTCATATGAGTTTAAATCAATATTTTCATTGCTGAAACTTGAATTTGACAATTCTATAATATAATAAAATAAAGCATATATTTTTGAACTATAATTGTCATCTTATTGTAACCTTGATGTCAACAGCTGTGCACTCTCACATATATACATTTCCTTTTTTGTCTGAGTGAGGAAAAAACAAAAGGAAAAAAAAAACATCAAGACGGATTACCTTTAAAATTTTTCTCATCTTGTTGTTGCTGTTCATTACTTGGCCATGATTGTGAACGACAATGTAAAAAATTCATTTGATTATTATCATCGGTTTTAATTGAATTTTTTGATATAATTGTTAAAGTTTCATTATTTTTATTATTTTCAATAACAGTTAAAACTTGTGATGATGATGTATCAATTGTATTTGTTGATGTATGTATTGATATGATTGATGATGAACGACTTGTTGATGATGATTGTTGTTGATTTGTTTCAGCAAGAAATGTTGTAAATACTTGATCAATCCAATCACCAAATGTTGATATTTTAACATTCATATCAATTGTATTTGTTTGAGAATATTCTGATGATATTTGTTGTATTTCTTGATTAGGATTATTTATTTCATTATGATCATTATTATTAGTATTATTATTTTCATATTCATTTATATTACTTGTATCATTATTTTGAAATGATAATGATGTATTAAATTCACTTTCAGCTGAATAATAGTGTTCACTTGTATTTGATGGTCCACGTTCACTTGTAATAATCAATGGAAAATCAGTTATAGCTGTTAAAAAACTTTTTCCTTCATTACTCTCCTCAGTTAATGATATTGATTTCTCATTAATGATCGATATAGGTTTAAGTGATAAATCATTGATTTGTGGTGATTCAATATCAAGTAATGAATCATCTGATAAAGCAAATAAATCATTTTGATTTGTTGTTTCTTCTGAATATTGTTCATCAATTTTTGATTGTAATAATTTTTGTTCACTTAATATATCAACACCTGAATCAATTGTATTTTGAGAATATTCCATCGATGTTATTCGTCGACGTGTTGAATTTGTATCAGATTGTTCAGCTTGTAAACGTGCATTTAATTTATCACGATATGTTTGAATTGTTGTCAAGGAACGATCAATATGATCTGAACAATCTAAATTAAATTCATCAACATCTTCATCTGTACTTGCATAGGAATTTAATTTTCGTTTTGGAGAACACGTTGAAGGTTTATTAAGTATTTTTTCATAAGATTGAATTTTGTTTTTTGATGGTGATGATGATGATGACGATGATGATGTTGAAGTATTTTTTTGTATTGGTGATGATGTATTATTTATTTCACGATTGAATATAGTATAATCAGGTAAATTGGAATCATTTTGTTTATTCATTGAGATAGTTTCAAAAACTAAAAAGAATTCAAAATATCCTTGGAATTTTACCTTAACAAACTATGATCAGATTTCTCTTTGTCTATGAATCAGAGATTTATGATATTGTTTTATTAAGTAAATACTAATGTAGAAGATCAAATGGCGGAAATCAATAGATTATAGAGAACAATGAATACACGTTTTTCTTGTTTGACGAGCATGGACTAATGATGTAGGATAAATAGCAATAAATTATAAAAACTCTTGATGAATGGTTCATAAAACTCTAATATTTTTTTCCTGTCGTTTTTTATTGTTCATTGTTATTATTGTATACTATTTGTTGTCATAGAGATTTATATCGAGATTTTCTCGAAATTCATTTTGAAAAATGAGATCTGGTTATTCTTTTCTATTAGAAATAAGTCAAAAACACAAAACATCATGTGTCAGGTGCACATTGGTTTTGATATATAATCAAGAAAGGGGAAGCATGAATGAAAGAGTTTGCCATGTTTATAAATTAATTTGCATAAGAAAGAAAAATATAATGAAGAAAAAAAAATGATTGAAAATAAAATATTTGTTTTTATATGGTAAAATATTTTCTTTTGCTTTAGATTAGATTAAGACTCATGGCTTTAATTATACAGAAAGAGAAACACGAAAAAAAAACAAAACAGAGTATAGATGTCTCGTTAATTATAAACAAAAAGACTGTCATCTGATTTTTAACTTCGATATGTACAATACATTAAATGTTATGTGTGCATAATTTTATTTGGTTAAATGGCTTTTAAGATATTCGACACAAAAAAAAATTGAAGAAACTTGTTTATATACGGTTTGATAGAGCGTGACAAGTTAATTCAGAATATGCTTATCTTCACTTTTTAGAATGATTTTTTTTCGAGAGAAATTGCCAGTTTTTCAGATTATCTATTTTGCTTTAAAAAAAAACAGATCAAATTTTAATAACTGAAAAGTTTTCAAGATTTTCATTTCCTTTTTATTTCAAAACTATTTGTTGAAGACCTAGCGTGAAAAGTTGAATGTAAGTAACTCGTTGTTAAATGACTTCCTAGATTCAATTTTTTACGCTACACTTCAAACATACAGATTGAAAAAATTCAAAAGAAATTTACAAAAAAAAATTGACAACCGACCAGTTTTTCAGACGAACTACGTTGTCTGAAAAACTGAAAAATTTTCTCGCAAAAAATCATTCTAAAAAATTGAAAACATATATTCTTTATCCGTATGTCACACTCTATCGAATCATATATAAAAAAAACCTTCTACGTTAATGTTTCATTTCCGGTACCTTTTTGTAGCAATATGAACCAATAGACTGAATTGTTGCTATGTTACCAAAACTAATCGTATGAATAGCTATATAACTATTCCACGTCAATTAACTAAGCAGATTTTTCATCGTTTAGTTATTTTCTTTTGGCTCAAGTTTAGAATATCTCATTTTATTGTTTTTACTCATTTACATTTTTGGTCACCTCCTTTTAGCTGATGTGACTGAACATAAAATAATAACAAATATACGGTGTTAAATGAATTGAACTATAAATATTATGTCAGATAGAAATTGTTTTATAAATATCATTTTAATCTTTTTTTTTCTTCATACCTTCATGTAAATGTGTATTAGTTGTACGTTGAAGAATTGGTGGTGCTGATCGATTATGTTGTTCACTTGACGATCCTGTATCCGTTGTACTATCTGATGTTTGTTGTTGTTGTTGTTGTTGTGTTCGTTGTTTTGTTATAAGACGATTATCTTTTTGTAATTGATCAGCACTATACCATTTAAGATTTGAATACCTTAATTGTTTACCATCACCTTCAATGTTCCATTGTGTATTTTGACATTGATTTAATAAAGATGGTTGACGATGTTGAGTTGTTGTTATTGATATAATATGTCCATTTGAATTTGTTGTTTGTGTTATATCATTTGTTTGATTATCTAATGTTGGTATCAGTAAATTTGTTGCTGAACCAATATGATTTTGACATGATGATGCTAATATGGAATCTGTTGTTGTTTCCATATTTTGCCAATAATCAATTTTACTACGTTGTAACATAATATGACGTGATGATATTGGTATTAAACGTTTATTATGATCAATAATAGGTGGTACTTGTTCAACAGAATATTTTGGATAATGATTTAAATCATTATCGAATTTTTTAGAATAACTACTTTTCCAAACATATGTTATTGTTTTTGTTAAACCAAATGAATTTATTGGACGATTGGAATTTTTTAATTCAATTAAATAGACTGATGGTGATTTAATTGCTGATGATCCTGAAAGAGTTTCTAGATGAGAAGATGAATCTTTTTTAGGTTCATATATTGAATTTAAATATTGATTTTGAAATAATTGTTCGCTTTTTTCAGATAATGAGTCATCTGATAACGAAGGATATTGTGGTGCAGTTGTTGTTGTTGTTGCTATTCGGGAAGGTGAAGCTAATCTATATGGACGAGATTTTTTTTTTAATTCAATTGATGATGAACAATTATTTGAATATGAAGATGTTGTTGATGATGATGATGAAGAAGAAGAAATTGTCGATGACAAATCGTTAATAGGTGATGATAAGGTTCCTGTTGCTTTTGATTTTGAATGACGACCTATACATTGAAAAACAAAATCAATGATTAAACTCGCATCAGAAAAAAACCTTGGTCAAAGTTATGATGAAATAGAAAAAAAAATCGAAGAACGCTTAATCTAGTTTCATGTATAGTATGATAATAATGATAGTCAAATAGATACATATTAAGGATATACTGTCAATGTGATAATCAATATTCGTCATTCAATTCAGGGTTATAAGGTAATAGCTACAAATATGTACAGTTTAATAAAAATCGTTTTTGATCTAGCAATTATCGAAAAGAAAATAGTAGAAATAACTAGACAAGTTAACAAATGAATTATATAGCCTTGATTTTTGATTTCTTTTGTTGTCTTACATCATTGTTCAGTCGATTGGATTTAACTATGTTTGTTAAGACATCTGTGCGAAGTTTCTTTTTCTTTTTTCTTTGTGATCCTATACTTATATTTTAAAACAAAGTGACATCACAAGGTTAGAAATGGAATAATGTAATGCGCCAGATGCTCAATCAGGCGCAGGTGAATGCAAACACTTTTGTTGTCACTGATTATCAAGTAGTCGGTGTAGTAGTCTCGAGTCGTCATCTCAAATTCAATTAGAGAAAGCGAATGTTGTAACACTCATATACTATATAGCGACATACCTCGCTTGTCATACATACTCAAACAAAAGTCAAAACGATCAATTTCATGTGGTTAGTTAGACATCAGAAGTTGTCGTATCGAATGGATTACGATAGTGATGACAAGTATTCAGTCATTATCAAAGATACTTGAACAATAGTCTGTCTCCTTAGTCATTAATGATTGACAAAAAAAAAAGAGAAGAAAAAGAAGCACGTATAAAGCACTCAAAATGATTCTCATTTGCAATCTCACACTGAGGTGTTTTCTTTCGATTGTAACGATATCGAACATATGCATCAATGAAAAAAAGAAAAGAAAAAGTTGATTAGCATGGTCGAGAATCTTAACAAATGCGTGTATAGTTTGCTTGTCTGAATATCAAGCTATAAGAAAAATAAAAGTTTAGATCTTCTATTGCTTGTTTATATATATATATACATATATATATATATATTTATATTAATATATAAGAAAAAAATATTGTTTACTTGGGGATATAGTTGACTTATAGTATGATGTTACAACTACTATCTAAACATAAATGAGTGATTGTATAATATGCTTTTAGTAAATAATGATTATCCGGTTTTCTTTTTGTCTTGTTAGTAGGGAACTATTATTTACTAGTTCATAAAAAAAACATACCATTGAACTGTTTAAAACTACTATACATTTCTCACTTTTATGATAAACTATAATAACTCTATATAGACACACGTCTTTTGTAATTTGATATATGTACATAGATTCTGGTAATAGACAATAAAAAAAAAAAGGTTTTGACACATGCGTGTTTTGTCTTTTCATTTGCTACTTTGACATTTGATCTTTAATTGTTACTCATAAAGATAATAACTTCATCACTTGATAATAGCTCATCTGTTAAGTATATATATACATATGCAACGATATATAAAAAAAAACGACAAAACAAGATTCTTATCATTATTCATTATTGCCGAGACAGATATTTTGTCTCGCCTTTTTCGTTTACCTATACGATTAATCACAATTGTCTCATGTAATCAAAACAACAAAATTTAAATATATATATATATATCTTAATAGTTCACTCACCACGTAAGATAAGTATTGTTTTATTCACCAACGTACCAAATGACGGAAACATAACATTGAATTACAAGAAATGCGACGAATAATATTTTCTTTCTGTTTTTTCTTTACTACTCAAATTTAAAAATATCTAAGTGTACGAATGATACGTTGCCTAATGGCACTCGAATGATGAATAACGTAGTATTTAAGTAAAACAACAACAGCATTAATTTCTTTCGATACAAATCTTATGTATAAAATGTAATGTATGATAGGTAATACTATTCGTTTGCCGTCGTTACCGCCCACTGAGTAATGACATCAAGATGCAAAAAAAAGAAGAAAGAATGTATGGCAAAGCTTTCCGATCATTGTCCACTATACGTATGTGCGTGTGTGTGTTTTTTTATTCTCTCCTCATTCTCTTTCTCTTTTGCTCTTTCTTCTTCATGTCATCTAGTATAAGAGATTTATGTCCACATACATGCTTACGAGCACTAATTACAAATCGAAGTCTCTTAGTTCAGTTCTCGTACATAAGTGATGATGATTTTTTACGGTGTAATATTGATTAGAAAAAATAAGAATGATTTTTTTTTATTAATAATTTAAATTCTCGAATGCACACGAACACATTTCAGACTGATTATACAGATCGATTTGCGTACTCATGCAAAAAAGCAATCAATGACCAGTAAAGTTTTAATAATGACGATAGTCACTACCGGATATATATGTGCTATACTATTCAGAGCTTTGTGTTATTGATTCATTTTGATCAAACAACTAACATATTTGCAGACAGACTATGTCTGCCCGGAAACGATTACCGATGAACAAAAAAGAAAAAAAAACCGCATACGTATTCTAATTATTTGTTCATCGAAATTCTCACACCCACATTTTTTTCTCTTGTCGTTTCTCTCTCTTTTTTCTTCAACTGATTTTGATTATTCTCTATGTGCATATGTGCAGATGACGAAATGGCACATTTGCATATTTACACACACACACATGATATACCATCTAACTGAGCGTGAGACAATATAGCTTTATTTTTTTCTCAATTTACCACTTGAAAATGATTAGCAAAAAATATTCATGATACACTTACACGGAATCCAGTTAGTTCGTACACGATTTTGTTTCGGTATTTGATGACAACCATGGAATATAGATGACATAGTTCTACACTTTATAAATGCTGTTTGAAAAAATGCCTATATATATATACATATATATATATGTATAGGTTTTATTATCAGTATGAATAATTTTCTTCCCTTCTCTGATCGCTCATGTCGCTCTTACGCTGCAGGTAATTTGCATTGGAGAGAAAAAAAAAAGTATTGTATGCTTTTTGTTAGTTACTAATATAGACATTTATATGACACTTTTTTGTTTTTGTAATAGTCGTACTGTTTATGGATGGCAGACAAATAGAACATCATTGAAAGTCGATCATGATCGAGAAGAAGAAAAAAAACGAAACTGGAACTCAATATGCTTATAAAAACATCTGTCTACAGTTATTTTGGCTTTAGCACAAATCTAAATCATGCGAAGATGATTAAGTTACAATATCAATGTAAATGTCTTCCCTTTTTTTTTGTGTTCGCATGTGTATACATATATTTTTCAAATTATAATTAATGAAGCAAATTCAGATGTATAAGAACGTCAATAAGTTTGAAATGTATTTATAATTTCATGAACGAAAGAAAAATCTTGATAGACTTAACCTCGATTTCTTTCTACCGAAAAAGAACAAATTTTAGAGAATACTGTATATTCAATATGAAACTCTATTTGGCTTTTGTGAAGTACATTAACTGAATGGATGCGTAGTGTTTTTTTTGTGCACATTCTTTTCTTTCTTCATGCATAATTTCTTTCAACATCATCATAATATGCGAAAAGGGAATCAATTTGAATATTAAAAAAAAAATACATACATGTATATGTATGAATATTTACTTTTATACAAACCTTCTTTATGCCAAAATTTTCGTTGGCGTTTGTCTGATGATGATTCACTATGATTATGTGTCTTTGATGACGATGATGACATCTTTTTCTTCTTCTTCGTTTGTTCATCTACATTATCTAATTGATTTGTACCATTTGTAGTACAGTATAACATCATAATATTCTTCTTTTTCTTTTTCGATGATATGTCCTTATTGTAAAATTCATTATTAGACATTGTCAATTGCGTTTGACAGGTATCGTCCTGCAAACTATATAATAAAAATAAAAGAATTATAAATTTATGAATAAAATTTGAATGATAATTATATCGATTAAAGATTATGATTAATGATGAACATACCATCAGTTACCATATGAATGTCTATATGTTTCTTTTAAATATACGTATAATAACTATCATAGAAATTTTGTTTCTAAGTTTTGATCAATTAAGCCTGTAGGTATTTTTTATTTTTGACATATTCTTTGGAAAGAAAATTACAAAGAAAAAAATCACAGCATATTCAATAAAACTAAACTGAATACTACTACGAAGACGTAACCAATCAGTCTCTCTTTCCTATAGAGTATCAATCAAAGAAGTAAAATAAAAGATCATATTACCTGAGAATATGGACATAGTCTCATCGAAATCATTCGAAAGAGAAGAAATGTGAGAATAAATTAAAAAAAAGAGAAATGTAATGCATTGAAAGTTTTTATTCGTTTTGTATATATACATGCATATGTTGCCTCTTTTTTTACCTCTGCTTTCTCTCTTGAAGAATTTTCGAGAGTCTGTAGTGCTTAGACATGTCTATAGCAATGTCAACCTTGAAGCTATGCAAAGTAGAAAGAGAAGGTACTTTAAAAAAAAAACTATGTCATCCGTTTTTTTTTAAATTTCCAACAATTACATTTGACTAAAAGCAGGGCACTTAACATTGTTGTATTGGATAATTTAAAACTGTTTTTGCACTTATCTTCGTCATTTTCTTTCTTTATCTAATTGATATAATTTTTTCTTTTTTTAATATTAACACGTTTAATCACTATACTTATCGCTAGTCCTACGAGTTTAATACTTACTGAATTGTTCAATGTGTGTATATGTATATACAAATATGCATTTTTCTTTTTATTACTTGTATTGGTGTTAAAGAAAAAGAATGCGAGCAAAGCCATACAAGAATACATCAGATGTTTTATATACAAAGTCATTCTTTTTACTATAAAAAACTAGTTGTTCTAGGACTGTGGTCATTTAAGAGGTAAAATGTGTATTATATCATAGATTTATCATTATTCATTTTTTTTCTGCAGAACAATCATCTCATTTATGTCTATTTATATGAATAAATGAAAAGAAAAAGATCCTTGACCCATTATAATTTATGCCGATGAAGTTTGTATTAAAATAATAGATGTTATGCATTGTAGTAGAATTCTAGTTAATAGATTTTGTGATAAAAGGTGTATTTTAAAAAGCAATTCCTCATTTTAAATATATTTTCAAAAGAAAAACAAAAGAAAATTTAAATAATATTCTGCTGTTGATACTTGTGGTTTTCTTACCATTCATTTTTCAATTAAAGATTGAATAGTCATTGTTGACTTCTAAGTTATAGATTTGAATAAAATATTAAACAATGGAAATTGTATTTTGATATAAAAAATGTTCGATTTGTTAAACTGTTATAAAACTTAAAGAATTGCAAAACAAATAATTAACGATGTGATTTGTACAAAATCGATTTCAATATTAATTGAAATTTGTCGAAATAGTTTCAACAAAAACTGAATGTGAGAAGTGCAATTATGCATAAAGTTATATTCAATACTGAACTGGAAGTCGTATAAATCACATCAACTTCTTATGTGGTGAAAAAAAAAATTTTGTTCTAATACTCTCTGTTATTTCTACACCAACAGAAAAACAAAAATTTGAGTTTTTAATCGGAATGAATTCTTACGAGAATAAAAAAAGCATTGAAAAGTTAATGTAACTGTTTATCAGAATAATAGAAGAAATTTTTATCGAAGTTTCTTCATAGTCAATTTGTTATTGTTCTTTTCTATGAACTATTAATCTTATTCTTAGATAATAGGATGAGTTTGTTTTTTTTTCAATGAACCGAATTTTTATATAACCATGTTCTTTCTTTATGATGCTTTAAAATTTCTTGATTTTAATATTATTATTACTATAGAGAAGATTATAAAAATATAAAATAGTATTAATTTATATTTTAATACGTTAACTTGTTATTTTTAGTTACTTAAGAAACCTTTTATAAGTCAAACATTTGTAAGTATTCATCTGTCTATCAATAACATCATATATTTTTCTTTGACTTATTCAAATGAAAAAAAATAGAATATGTTTTAACTTAAACAAAGACAGAAAAAAAGAAAGAATTCACTTTCTTTTTTCATTTTTCTTTTTTTTCTTAAATATTATTTCTAGAATATTTCATTTAGAAAATTTAATTTGTTTACCTATCATGATCATAATCATGTGAATCTTCATCACTTGTTGATAAATTTTTATTTGTATAAGTAAAAAATGTAGTATGTGATGAATTTTGATTTGATATTGGTCGAGGAATTTTTGTATTCATATTCAATGATCGATTACTATTTATTGATGATGCTGGAGAATATTCGCTTGTTGTTGTAGTTGTAACATTTGATGATGACGTTGTTGTTGTTGTTGTTGTTGTCGATGATGATATTCTTACTGGAATTCTTGATATTGATTGTTTTCGTTCAATATGTTGATGTGTTGATATATGTGATAGCGAATGTTCATTGTCTTGTTTTATTAATGATCTTTTTTGATTATCTAATATTATTGATGAATCATATGAATTTGCACGACGTTTTGGTTTATTAAATGGACGTCGTCGACTTGTTGTTTTAATTCGTTTATGTTGATGATATTTAGGACAAGATGGATCATGATGTTGTCGATGATTTCTATTATTTAATGAATCAGGAAAATCTTTTAATGATTCACATTTACATGTAACACAACGTGGACATAATGGAACTTGTATACGTTGTTGTCCTTGTAATAATGGATCACACCAATCTCGAAGTGTTCCAGCAAAAAGTGTATGTTCATTTGATATTGTATTAAATAAACTAGTTTCAATATTAGTATGATTAGTCGATAATTCGGACATTGATTCTGTTTGTCTAGTCGATTCAATTGTGGCCGCTTTGCAGCCTAGAAAAAGTTATAGACAAATACTCTGATAGATTGTATGATTGTTCATTTAAAAAGAAGAAAGAGAGAATAGAGAACGGATTGATTTAGTTACAATGAAGACGAAAGAGAATACAAAACATACATTCAAGTGTTATCATTCTCTCACAAGTATGAGTTCAGGGTTAAATTGAACTTTTTCAACACCTATTCAAACGTCAATAGTATAATTATTAAGACAACTATTTTTTCTTCTCTATCAACTGTCCTTCAAATACTTTAATATATCTTACACATACAATTACAAACAGGAAAAAAAAAAAGATAGTTTGTATTTAGTCGTGAGTATCATTGCCTCGAACTAAAACTGATATAAAGAAAAAAGAAAAAAGAAGTAGTCTCCTCGCTACAATGAATGCTTTCAAATAGGACTTGTGCATCGTCAGCCATATGCGATGTGTCAGCCAAAAAAAAAAAAGAAAGACAACTAACACCACGAAACGGAAAAGTGAGAGAGAGAGTGAAGAGAAAAAAGGTATAATGGATGACACAATGCTTTCACACGCACACTTTCAAATGCATAGACTCATACATCATCGTTGCAGAAGCAATTATTAAATAAATGGAGAAGAAGAAGAAGAAAAAAGTCGGACGATGACAGATAACCCCTTTGGTGGCATTTAAATTTAGACATCAGGTGGGTTGACAAATCGTGTCGTCGTCTAAGCACACTATTTAACTTAAAATGAAAAGAAGTCGAAGAGATAAACAGAAAATTGCACGTGAGTGCATATAGACATACCACAGCAGGAGTGACCAATTTAAATGAAATGTGGTGGCTACTTAAGAATAATTATTGATCAAAATGAATGTTAATATATATAGACCATTCCTTTTACCTGTCTAAGATTTTTCTCGTTAATCAGTCTCGTCTACTTTTTTTTTTCAACTTCCGTTATTTTTTTTTTCTAATGTTGTATGCTTTCAAACAAAATAATTTCCAAGCGTGTGTGTTCACTATTAAAATGATCGATCGTGATAGTGTATGTCTATTATACTATACATACATGTATGATGTCACATGCATATATCATTGAAAATGACAATTATACAAAGAGAAAGATAATCAAGTTTGTTGTATTATAAGTCTTACGACTAATGTTAATGATCAAATATATAAAAAAGAGAAAAGAAAAGAAAATTCATTAACAAAAGTAAATCAAAAGCTCAAGATGAAAAATACTATTCAATACACTTAATTCTCTTTCTATCACATACGTCAAGTGTCTGATGAAAATAATAAGTGCTATCGATATTTAATTTAGAAAAAAAAAAAATTATACATGTATCAATATGCAACAACTCTAATATGAAGTTTTATATTTAAAATGAATATATTCATTAATTTATAACATACTGTTTCAACAATTAAACAGAAAAATATTTTCCTTATTGTTTTACTAATATTTTTATTTTTATTTCTCAGTTTCACGTGTGCATGAAACGTAGGTGTGTATGTGTTTATTCATGAAGGAAAAGATGAATCAATGATAGTAGAAACAAAAAAAAAAAAAGTCATTGTTCTACGGAAAGAAAACTTTCTTTCTATAGAATTCATCGTTTTCTCTCTTTTTTTCTTCTGTTTCTTGTCAGACAATACTACCTGATCGATGTTCACTCGATGTTGTGAGCAGTCCACATGAACTGCATATTGTGAGCATGATGTGTTGATTATTTATGTCGACGTTTGATGATGAAAAGAGCTTTGTTTTTCAAGTGTATGCAAGTTTATGTTTGAGATAGAGACAACGGTTTTTTTTTTCTTCTCTTTCTGATATACTCTCTTCCTTTTGTTACGTTGTCAAAAAAAAAGCGGAATAACGAAAAGATTGAAGTACTGTTTGTCTACCTATTTCTATTTCTTTACGTTATATTGATAAAAAAAAAAAAGAAAAGATACCTTACACCTGGTCACATTTTTTTTTACTTATATCGTATACTATAAGAGTTGAAATAAAAGCTAACCACATCTTTACGAACGATTGTTTGTTTTTACTACAATCAGCTTTGAATCAATATTCATGAACATCTCAGTGTGATAAAATATGTAGGAGAAAAGAAAAGATTATTATTATGATGATAACACAATATTGAAGTAAAAAGAAAGGAACACAAAAAAATAAAACTAAAGGTATTAAAATTCGGATGTAACATTCATTTTTCTTTTCTGTATATTGATATAGAATTGAATGATATGTAAACATTGAAGAAGATGAATGATTATCAAACTTGCATGTTAATATTCTATAGACAATCTTCTAAAATCGGATGTTCAAGCTTTACTTTATAACTACTAATAATGAATTAATCAAATTTTAATTATCGAGAATATGAAAATAAAAAAAAAAAAAATCTTGAGAGAATATTTGAAAATTTCTTTTAATGACAACGTTTATTATAATTAAAGTTTGATTGAAAAATGCTTTCGAATGTGTTAAGTTTCGTAAATAAATAAAAAAAAAAAGAACAAGAAATAGATTGCATGATAAAATTCTTATACTGAAAATAGAATTAATACTGTTTTATCCGGCTTTTTTTTCCTCTTAAGTAGGATAAAGATAGAATATCATTTATCTTGTATTAATAGTGACATACTTTTCTGTTTTCTTAGTAAATTTCCTTGCTAATTTGCATTAGAACTTTTTTTTTAGTTTTCATTCCATTGAATGATTTTTTTTTCTTAAAATCCTTGATATATTAGAAGGTCTTCATGAATAAATAAAACAAAAACACAATTTAAAAAGAGCTTCTACGTCCTTCTGATGATCGATTTTTTGTCGAGTTTCAACAATTATTGATTTCATTATAGCATGTGTGGATATACTAATATCTAAGTTGACTAAGAACAAAATGTTAGCTCTAATTTGAATAACACATGAAAAAATATTGACAGAAAAATGAAATATTTAATTAAAAACAAATTCTTTTTTATTAGAAAAACTTGTTTCAAGGACACTTAAGTGTTTGTTTGCAGTACTCTATGAAAGTAAAATTTTTTGTATTCTTTTCTACGACCATTGTTAAAGCCTTATACATTCCAACACTCACATATAGAAAGGTTTTTATTAAATAAAAGAATATATCCATTGAAATCTTGATATATATTACCTACAAAAAACATATGTTTGATGACACATCTTGAAGCAAGTGCTATGAAGTATGCCTTCTATGCCTACGGTTACTTTTTTTATGAAAAACAAAGTAAAACATTTTTTTTTAAAAACAAATACAAAGTGCGCCTTCGGAGTTTATTCAATTACCCTTGTTTCCTGTAAAACTGTTTCTTCATAAATAATCGTATCCAGTCAAATAATCTAGGGACTAATAGTTGAGTCTTAGAACGAACTACATCTACACGATTAAAATTTCAATGTAAAGAGCTGACTTGTACAAAGATTTTATTTTTGTTATTCTAACTACTTAAATAAACGGGATAACAAAATATTGTAAGTTATAGATTTTATTCTTTAGAAAAAAAAAGTAGTGTTATTATAAATCTTACCAAATTTTTTCATTTATATTGGCTGTATTGTTTCAAGAATACACGTTTTTTTCTTATTACCAATATTCTATTTTCTTTACATTGAAATATTATCTAATTCTATTCTATTGTACGAATGCTGGATAAATGGAATAAAATCACTTACCGGTAATGACTTAGACAAAAAAAAAGAAACGTTGAAATTAGAAACTGTCGCTGAGACGACCAAAAAAAGAAAGGTTTCTTCTAAGAGACATAATGAAAAATCTCCTGTTACTTGTAAACGATAAGGTAAAATAGAAGATGACGTGTCTTCTCATGTGTCAATAGTTTTACAATTTCCTAAAACATCATGTACAAACTTCTTTTAATATCAAGGATATTAGTTTTGATCGCATAAACTATTCAATAGTTCATCAGAATCTTTAACCTTGTAAGAACATGTGACTCATAAACAAAGACTTTTACATTTCAATAGAAGCACCTCATTATTGCATATAGTCAAACAAAAAATCATCGTAACTAATGTACTACATCGTGATTTACTATGTAACGTCATTGAAAAAAAATTCCTTTTGGGATTGTGTTCTAGCACAATGATTATAAGTTGTAAATGTTTTTCATCTACGTAATATATTAGCTTCAAATTTGTCAACTCATTTTATAGTGGTAGAAAAACAGAATTAAGTTCATGTAGTACGAAAAGAAATCTATGAACTTATTCTACATACTTAGAAAGCAAAATAAAATAATCGATTGCGATTGCAATACATTAATTGTTATCAAATGAATATGTTCAACCTAAATTTCATTGCTTCATTGTATTTGAAATATATTTTCTACGTTCCTAATAAAAAATTTCGAGTTATTGCAAGAATAATATTATATAATTTCGAAAATTTTTTGTTGACAGTAGATACGGATCAATCATTACTATATACCTGAGTTTATTTGAAAAACAAAAATATCAAAAGATGACGCATGATTATAAAAAAAGGAACAAAAACACTGATGTAGTATTCTTAATAATGACTTTTTAGTGAAATAACATGCATAAATGAAAAAGTCAACTACTATAATATGGATGTATTTTTATTTGTTTTTTTTCCACAACTACATAAGATAAATCAATAAGAAGACCTCATCCTTTAATACGATTATTATTGAATCGATTATACAAAGTATTAGTAAGACGTTGTATAGCTGTTAGTCGAATATAGCTCTTTTTTTATTCTTGTATCACTTGTCGACCATTGAATTGTAATGCATTGTACCCTTCTTTTTTTCTTTATCTTGCAAGAATTTGATGAAGACTGTATGTTAAGTTGATTTCGATAGATACAACTGTTCTTTCTATTGTGATAACCTTTAAAGAGAAAGAAGATAAGCTTAAAACTAAAGTTGTCATACTCACCAACGTTATTCATTCGATTATCCTACGTAGATACGTTCTATAAATCAATGTCACTCACCCATCTTTTTACAAAACATATTAATAATTGTTGCATTCAGTGAATTGTTCAACATCATATCGTATTTCATTGAAATCACTTATTATTTACTAAAGTCGTTTCAGTATCGATCTGGTCTGTCAATGGTACTCTACATCATGAAAACTGTCTATCCAATAGCCAAATAGTATGAAATAAAGAGAAAAAAAAACCAAAAGAAAACATTTACACTGAATTACCTTTCATGAGTTTATTATTGTGGAAAAAAAACACGAACATCATTCAATATTTCCATTTCCGTCATTAGATATATATTCATTATCATCACACAATCTTAAATTACATTATATCACCGAATACATAAGCTTTCACTCATTCATGAGGAAAAATACTTTCACAATCTTCTAGAGTTGAAGTTAAAGAAGCGTTACTTCACATGTGTCTAACTGTTAGTGTCATCTCTCTTCACAGTTTTAAGGTCTCAGCATTCCGAAATTTGAGCACACGTTTTTTTTTTGACTTGTGCACACAATGTTTCAGCAGAAAAGTCTGCATGGAATAGTATATTCAATATTTAAAAGAATTTTTCGTTCAATTTTGGTCTGTACACTCCTTCACTATGATTTTCGAACTCTGTGATCTCTGCTTCCTCTAAAGTCGAAATGTTACAAAAATTAATCATAAATATTGAGTATACCATTCGATATAGACTTTTCTGCTGAAATATTGTTTAAACATATCAAAAATAAAATATTTAGAAGTAATTCAATAGGCTCTATGTCACTGTGATAAATGATTTTTGCTGAAATTTAAAACTACTGCTACCTTAAATAACTTCATGTTGATACTTAACTTTCGTAATTTTACGTCATAGACTGAAATGATAAAAGTATTTTGTTTCGCATTCCGCCTCTACATGTTTTTCTTCACTGCCTTGTCATTTCTTTATAAGATGTTTGGATCATATGATTTATTTGACTACATATTACATAAGTAGACACAAGAGTACAATAAAACAGGCACTGAGCATAAAAATGATATAGTTTGAGATACAACAATCAATCTTTGACTTAAATCATTCTCTATCGAACGAACAAACAAAGTATTATTTACAGTGGTTGCGCCTAAATTAGACCTTCTCTGATTAACAATGTGACCTGCTGTTGAAAAACTCTCTTTCGACAAAAGTTGAACCATCTGGTATAGAGTTTATTCGACATACTCAACAAGCTCTTGTTGCTCCGTTTCGTCATTTATATAGTTCGTTTTTGTTTTTGACATTAGTCAGGAAAATCACTGTTACACAATAAAATTTTCATATCAACTAAATAATATCATTCTTTATGAAATACTCATATTCGATTTTGATAATTAGTAAAACACATCATGATTTATTTCTTTTTAATATGAAATCAAGAAAAAAACAAGAACTTTCATTTTCCCTTTTTGTTCTCATTTGATACAATGACTATTGAAATAATTTAACGTTGTGATAATTGACCAGGAGGTGAAAAGAAACCACCAGATGCTTTACTTGCGGCACGTGATGGAGCAACTAAATAACAAATAATCCATATGAAATATCAAGTTGAATGAAAAAAACAAAATACTTACGACCAAATAGTTTTTGAACATTCTAAAATAAAGCAATTTTTACAGAAAATCTTGTATTCGTTTTTTTTTGTGTTTTTACCTGTCGAATAGACATTGTGCATAAAACATAGAGAAAAATGAATGAACAATCAGTAAAATCATCACCAGATAAACTACGATGAGATAATCCACGTATCCATGGAATTGGTTCAAACGGAAGTTTAGCAACAACACGACCATCAAAACTAATGGACAAAAAGAAACAAAATCCAATAAAAAAAATGATTTAGAAAAATCTTAACATACATTGAATTAAACATGCCAAGTAATGCCATAAATGTAAAACTTGATGCAAACATTGATTTCATTTTAACCTATAATAAAAATTTCTATTCGAAAATTTTAATACAATTTTTGTTTTTTGTTTTACCATAGATAAATCTCGATTATTAACTTTTAGTTTTTCTTCTTGCCGTTCTAAAATTAAAATAAATAAATATATAAAGATATTCATTTGAATTGAAAAATTAATTAACCAAGTTTTTTCTTTTGAACTTTATCTGCTGCATCACTAACAGTTTCTTTTTGACGTTCAACTATTAATTAAAACAAATCAATTTTTCAAAATATTAGAATGAAAATAAAAATGTTCAACTTACGTCGTTTACTTGCTTTTTCAACTTCACCTTTTAATCTTTGATATTTTTCTGTTCGATAGACAAGAAGCCATGTAAGACCTAAATTAATTGAAAAAAAAAACAAGAAAATTAAAGAACATTTTTTATTATGAAGAAAAAAATTCTACCTTCACCAAGTAGTGCAGTTGCAATTGAGATAAAAATAATTAAAATTGTATCGCCTATCATGTTTAGAAATTTGTCGATGAGAATCTAGACAAAAAATAAGAGAAGAACGGAACGTACATGCGTGTAAAACTTATGTGTCGAAAAACATTGGACCAAATAAATCTCCGTTCATTGTGTATTGTAACAGATATCGCTAGAATTCAATCTGTTTGTCAAAATAAAATAATTTTGTATAAAAAAGTTGAGAAATAAAATAAACTCATTCGTGCCTGCAAAACAATGTCAAATGAGTTCAACTTAACTTTAATATTGAAGCTAATATTTAGAGATTTTTGCTGAATTTTTCATTTCAGATCTTTATTTTTGTTTCGAAGTTTTTGATTTGATTTATTATTTGAAAATTTCAAGATAATTTTCTTAATATTTATTGAATAAAAATGGAATTATTTCATGAATTTCAAACATTCATTCATAGTCTTCCAACAACAATCACAACAACTAATCTTAGTGGTGTTCGAGAAAAAGCCAAATTTATTACACCACTTAGTATAAGTAATGATGATATTCCAGAAAATTTTAAGTAAATTCGATTTTTGAGAATAACTTAAAAATTTTCCTTTTAATAATTTTTTTCTTTAGTAAAATGTCAGTCGTTATACTTCAAAATTTATTGAATTATCATGATGATAATGAAATGTTTCCTATTCCATCATTAAAATTATTACTCGATTTAATTGGTACATTTGACATATCCGATTCTATTACAAAATCTAAATTGATGTTATTATTACATGGTACAAAACTAAAATTATCAAGCGAAAGATTATGTTCTTGGTTTGTGAAAGTGAAACTAACGAAGGAAATGATAATCGATGATACACATGAACATCTTAATCGATGGAAAACTTTTGCATCATTAACATTGAATCATCCCGTTGTAAGTGAAAATTTCAAATCTTAGCTAAGATTTCCTTATATCGTATGAAAAAGTATTAGAGATAAATTAAGATTTAATTTCATTGTTTTTCTTTTCATTTGGAATTTTGAAGAAATGTTTAAGTAAATTATTATGCCAAAGAAAATTCAAATGAACACAAAATCAATATCTATCTGAAGAAGATCAATGTACTTTATGGTCCGAAAATTAGGAGAAAAGAGAAAGATAACTAAAAGAACTTTTAAAAATCACTTTCAATACGAAAGACAAAATACATTGACTTTTCGAAAATATTCTTTATCAATGTTTAAAAGATTTTCAGACGATTATTTTATGATTTACTATAATCCACTAGTTTCAAGTCTCCAAAAGATAGCTCAGATGATCATTTTTTTTCTATGAAATAGCGAAAAGTAAATATCTTTAAGTATTATAGTGTAGAAATGACATAGATTTTCATGATATCGGATCCATAGAAATACTTGTCCTACATTTCAAACATTATTATGTAATTTGAATTTTTTTATGTGAACCTAAATTTTTCTTGTAGGTAATTGAAGTTATAAAGAGTTTAGCAACTGATGGTACAGGTATATGTTTACCAAATATTCTTTCATCTATTCAAGTGGAAATAATTGATTGTACCTTAGCTGGTTTACGAGGGTTTTGTGGAATTAATAAGATTTATATAAATGCAGCTTATATTCGTAGTCAAATGTCAACATACTCAACAACATTTCATCCTGATTCACCTATTGGAAAATCAGTTGTTGAAATGGACATATGTACAATAGCAATTCATGAATTTTGTCATGCAAGACTTAGACAGGTATTTACTATTATATTTTCTTCTATAATTGAAATCTTAACATTTTATTGTAATTATTTGTTTAACAATGGAAAAAAAGTTGTGAAATAAATATATTTAATTTCAGTTTAATATTTTCTTTAGATTACCAATAATCCAAACATATGTACACCAGATTTATTTCGTTCTGTAGCATGTTCTACTGTAAATGAAAGATCTGAATTTGGAAGATTATGCGAAATGGTCCTTTTTTCGATCAAATTGATTATTGGCAATCAGCTGCCGACAATAAATGGGATTTGGATTATTTTCAAAAGTTCATTAAAGCAATTGAATCATCATCAGCTATACCACCATTTAATTCAACAAATAATTATATAAAACGTTTTCTATCAACAACATCTGGTCTTGATATAGATCTAACCGCTGATGATTATTATGTGTGAAGGATTTTTATCAAGAATAAAAATTAAAAAAAAAGGTTCGTCTTATTAATTAAATTAGAACGTATTGCAAATTTTTAGTTTGAATATAAAAATATTTTTTTTATTATACGGCTTGTCCGACTAACGGTCAACCAGACTGATTAAAGTAGAACCTATCTATTTCTCAAGGCTGACTATATCATGTTGTAGAGAACGCTTTGCTCTGTCAGCAAATGTAGTCGTTTCTTTTTTTTTTTTCTCATAAAGGAGAGAAAAGCTGCAAGGCAAACAACATAGGTAGACTTCTTGAAATATCTATACGTTTTCGTGCTTTTGAAGAAACTTTTGAAAAAAGAACAGAATTTTAACTAAAAATTGAAGCGTCATATATATTGCGCATGGCGAAGTTTGGACTTTCTTCTGATATAATTTTCAGCTGCTTTATGAGTAGTAGAAAAAAACGGGGAATATCTGAAAACTTCATCAAATCTGAAGTGAGTGCGTTACTGATTAGGGCTTTTAGTTTAGTTTACGCCACAATCATACAAGCATTTAAGTTGATACTTAAAAACCTCCGTTAACTTTCCATGGACTATCAAATGGCTAGGTTGGTTTTTACTTACATATTTTTTCTGCCGAAAAAAATGGTAACGCACTCACCTTACTGACCCACTTCCATGTTTTAAACCCCATATATGTATGTTTGATGGGATGGATTGTTTCTATAATAAATGGCTTTCAATATGATTTATTAATGTTGCTATCTAATAGAGATGTCAACAAGCCATGATTTCTCTTGGCTTCACGTATCAGGCTTTAGGCTAAATTAGATCTGGCAGGTAGACCTACGATCGGAGCTTAGGAGTTCACCAATTCATATTTGATCGGTTGATATGTTGACTGAGGATACGTGTGAATTACATTTTGCACCTTCATCATATATTTCATAGAAATCTCGACTGGCTATTTGCTCCTTTTTCGCAAAGAAATGACAAAATGAAACGAAAACCGAAACCATTACTCGACTGAAATATGGCATAAAAACTTAATAAATGAATATTTCAACTAGAACAATTTTTCAATAATATTTTGTCAAAGAAATAGATATAAAATTCATACATTCTTGTTTCTGGACGAAATATGCTATTCAGTATCGATTATAAGAGTGATTTAACAGATAACGAAAAAGTATTGAACAGGAAATAAATATTCAATTCCTCTATCTAAACATTTTATTAGAAAAAAAAATTTTTGCTTTTTATTTAAAATATTTCAATGAAAAACCTTTTAATCTATTTTGTGTTTGTTGACTTACATTGAAATTTTTAAATAAACCAAATTTTTTGTTCATTTTCATTTTCATTTTCATTTGTTAATTTAAGATTAAATTGAGTTTGATATTGAACAAAAGAATAACCTAAAAATAAATAAATAAATAAATAAATAAATAAGTTATCTTTTTTTTGTATTAATCAAAGATTAATTTACTTTGAACAAATAATTCTTTATTATTAATTCGATTAATAAATCCAATACATAAACGACGAATACCAAATGAATATGAAAACATTCTTCTTCTTTTTTATTTTTATTATCAAAAAATAATTTTATTTTTGACTTAATAAAAATATCGTCTCGTAATAAACTATAAAATACGAACTTCTTAATTAATATTCTTTCTAATGTTTGCATAAGGTTCCCATTATTAGTATATTGATATTTAAGACTTTATCAATATACATCTGTAAGGTTTCTAGCTCTATTCGACAGATACGGATATGAAAAACTTGATGAAAGCATTACTATGAAATCAACCTTTAACAAAACACTAGGAAGTAACCTTAAATGTTGGTGACATTTAATAAGAATCGTAAAAAAACCTTCTGTTTATCATATATTGAATGAAAAAAAAAACAAAAAATATGTTGAACTTTTAAAAAGATCTTTATGATAAATAATTCGCGATCTAATTTTTGTGAATTTCAGATATAGTATATTTTTTGCTTTGAAAAAATAAATTTAAAAGTATTCATCCATATTTCCTTATCGTTCACTTAAAATTATATTAATTGAAAGCTAAATATTTTCAATCGAACGAATAAGTTTTTATATTCATTAAATAAATATGTATAAATAATAGAAGAAAAAAAGAAAGCAAATGGATCCTATAAAATATTAAATATCATTCCCATCGGCAATGGTAGAACCGATTGTTGTTAGAACGACGACATAATGAATCAATATGTCAAGACATTTACAAATCGTGTCGTTCAATTGTGCTAAATTTTATATGTTAGAAATATCCTAATTTAGATACAAAGTGTAATGTATAATGAACAAATTATTATTACAGATAAAAGCATGTATAATTATACATGAAAGAAATCTATACAAATTTTTGATATTGATACTCGACTAGCTGTATATCATGTAGAGATTTATATAGATGGCGTATTGATGTGTCAAGCAGATCAGTCTAATGAAAACAAACAGCTAGATAAATATTAAAAAAAAACAGTTTATTTTGATAGACTTTTGTCATTTGATAACTAGACCGTTTCGATCAATGTGTTCGTGCATCCCACGAGATCTTTTCAATAAACAGTAATATATATATATACATCAGTCCATCTGAATGTCAAAACAAATCTTTAAGAAGTATGAATGTACCACATTAGAAGATGAAATTAATTTATCGACATTTTAAATGAATATTTCTAAATATATTTTTTATGACGAAGAGTTCACCTGAATACTTATCACAAGAAAAACCTCACAAATCACAAGTATCAAAAATACAATAGTCGACCAAGAAAAAACTAAACCTCGATTTTCAAAGCTTTATATTTCATACTAGATATCTTTCTTTTTGCTTGTCACAATGTATAAAAATTTTGATCTTTAACATTTTGTAAAAACAAATTGTTTGTTCGTCTTTCTTTTGTTTATTACAATCATTAGCAAATATATCAGAAAAGTGCATATTGTGTCCAATCTATTACCCATATCCCATTCAAGTAAATCAAATTTTGACACATGCACATGTGTATGCATCACTAGAATGTCTTGTATAAACACACGAGCATTCTCATCAATAAAGATTGTTATTATTTTCTTCCATCAATCCTTGAATGCAGCATACGTCTATAGAGATATAAAGAGAGATTATCAGTGACAATACAAGCAATGATTAGCGGTTTATTCTTTTCTTTCCTATTCTGCATTATATACGATATCACAAGCTGAATTATGATTATCTATATACTCTTTTTTTTCTCTAGCGTCATAGATCTATATAGAATTATGTTAATACAAATTCAAATGGCATGTTGCTAGAAAAAGAGTAATACAAACAAGACGCGTCCGTACACTGCACGGAATCATTGATGATAGGAACAATGATCACTGCAAGTAAACAAGATGAGAAAAAAGTGATTGGCATCACTGAGACATATGCTGTTAGGCTAGTATATAAGGAAAAAAAAGACGGATATAATATTGTGTGATGTAAGAAAGAAACGTTGTATTTTTGCCCGATTCTCAATAAGATAGATCATCGAAAAGTGAGAACATAATGATGATTTTATAGGCGGTTTGTTTTTCTGTTTTACACAATACGAATCATATTTAGTTGTCAATAAAATATCAATGAACGATTGTAACAACAAACAAACAAATATTACATGTACCGATATGTCAAATTGTAAACTTCGAATACATACAGTAAGTTTACTGATAGTACAATTTTTTAAATTACACATTTTGACTAAATACTGATAATAGATAAATGATCGAAGAAGTGTTTGCACAGAAGGATATGAATCAGATTAATGTTTCCAGAAAATTTTTGAGAAATAGATCTTCGGAAAGTATTTGATAAAGTATTAATTAGCACTAATAGATAAACAGAATTGTGTATGATTGTCATTTAATGATGCAAACCTTTCCAACAGATATTTCTTTGTAGACGTCTGATGTAGATATTCAATAATTTTGCAGATGTCGCTCTTTGAAAATTTCTTTCATACATATAAATACTTTTATATTATTATTGATTCTATTGAATAATTATTTTCTATTTAAACAATTATTAATCAAATAAAATATAGACTAAAATAAATTTAAATATCTACAATAAGTCTAGACTTTATCTTTTTTTTTATTATAAATTTCATTTTAATCCATAAAACTAATCAAATTTTATATCTCATACATATATATATGTTGATTGTCAAACAAAGTTCATTTAGTTCTGAATTTAAACAGATCATTGTTGCTCTCACTGATCGCCTACATATACAATGCATACAAAGGCATATCGAATGTTGATAAATCCAAACAAAACAATGGAAAGAGAGAAAGTGGTGTGCTTTGTCGCCAATATTTAACAACATACGATCGATGAAGGTGCACTCTTTCTCATGCCACTTATCACGAAAAGAAAAGAAAGAAAGAGACAGGAAAAAAAAACTTTTGCATTTTTCAAACCCTCCTGTCTATTTGAAGTAGATCAGATTTCGTAGCATTGATGATTAGAAGAGAGAGAGAGAGAAGAGAAGTGTGTCTCTCACTGTCTAATTGAGGATGCTTTTTTCTCTTCTCTCTTCTGAACACCTGTTCAATTTGAATACGCTTGACGATTTAAAATGAAACAAAAAAAAAAAGAAACATTCGTCTGATAAGAATGATTTGAAAAAGAGAGAGAGAGATCAATTAATTCCACCGACAAACTCTCATACAAAGATCATAATTGATTTTCAAATGATGCGTACATGTTCTCTTGTTTTATCTTTTGTATATGTGCACCTGCTGTGTATGTTTGTGCCATTCGCTAGTTGCCGCTCTATGATTAGACATAGTAATCGGTCCGTTCTTTTTTTTTTCTATTACAATTCTAAGCGTGAATATCCACACGAGTGGGTGACGTTTTAATTACGATGCACACACATCATCTTCATCATTGCTTCATCGTCTTATCCTATATGGTACTACACTAGCAATGGCGAAAGAACAGGCTAGAT